CAGGGATGGGGAAACTACGGCCCGCGGGCCAACTGTGGCCCGCCGGAAGATTTTATCCGGCCCGCGGACAGAATTTTAACTAGCCGATCAGTGGCGAATATATCTACTTTGTTTAAAACTATTTTTGTTGATTTCTTTTTTAACAAAGTACTGATGACCTTTTCACTTTCTCTATTTTTGTTCTACAAAACATAAATTAATTAAAATAGTTAGCACAAACAGCTTTAACTGGTAAAATGTTGAAAGCAAAAGTTCTTTATAGAATAGCTGTAGATTAGCTCCAACTAGTATTTGTCTTTCTCGAGGAGCAGACATATGGAATCTAATATAGGTGAATTGTACTTCACATGAGGCTGACTACGCGTTTTAAGTTCCAACGAACGGATTTTTCTGCCGGCTCTAGTTCTAACATTATTTACTGCGTATGGAAAGATTGCACACATACAACGTCATTGTAAATAATGGTGAAATTATTAAATGTATAAAATGGCTACTGCCTTTTTGAGTTATTTGTAAACATTTTTTATCCCAAAATGGCAACTAAAAAACGCAAAGTTGATGTAGAGTGACGTGCACTCAATGATGAATTGACTTTATTTTATTTCAGAAGCTTTTACTCGGCCCACCAAACTTTTTTTTCTAGATTTTTGGCCCACGACCCAAAAAGTTTGCCCATCCCTGGGTTAAGGTATGTTTAGTGTTACATTTTTAAAATAAAGCTGTATTAATTTGTTGCATTAATTTTTTATTCCAAATTATTGCTTTTTTTCACTATAACTTTTTTAAATATTATTTATGGACTGACGACAAATAATATTAATATTTTAACTAATTTATAATTGCAATCTGTTTAATATTTCAATATAACACTTCGCTAAATATATTTTTAAATTTTTTCAAGAGAGATCCAGAGTGATTTTTTCCGCTGTGGAAGAACCTTGACAACCCTGATATTTGGTAATTTGAACTTAAACAAGGTAAAAGAGTCAAAAATTTGCGATCGCAACACTCGAATACGCCTGGGGAGAGACCGGTTTCATGCCTTTAGCCCTTCTCCCTTCCCTCTCCTCCTCTTTTCAGTTGTATAGGAATGTACTACGATATTTTCCCCTTTCTTAATATTTTTCCTTTTTATTTAATAAAAATATTTTTTAAAATTTCCATGATACTTTTCTTTAGAACTACGTTTAATGTAGTTTTCAGTTCCATATAGTTTTTCAAGTTAAAAGATTTTAATCTATTTGAAAATCAAGAGAGAAACTAACGTACTTCCTTCCTCTGTGACTTTCCACACGCTAATGGGGAAAGCATGTGAAGTGTTGCCATAGGAAAAGAGTTCTGCTCTACGCCACCTGCAGCCCATTTCGATCGCCAATAACAAAGCTTTCTATTTATTAATAAATGGAAATAAATATTATAGTTTATAAATAATTGAAGAAAATTTTCGCTTAATCTTTTACAAATATAAATTTAAAACATGGATTTAGATTTCTATTTTACATATGTCGACATTTTTTTGTAAATATGGTCCAAATAGTGCGGTCAGGAAAGCAATCCTAAGTTTGGACCTCCTAATGCTAATTTTACTTCTTACATATTTCAAGAACTTTTTCAGCAAATTGAAAAATCTTTGAACACAATTAAAAAATTCGTTTCTCCAAAGATAAGTTCATGTAATAAATAAATTTCAACAAATACTTATCATTTTTTATTAATTTATTTCGAAAAAAATTTCGAATTGTAAGGTAGACAATACATAATTTTATAGTAGGCTAATTTTACATGGCGAAAACAAAATTTGTGCTAATCGGTAGAATTAGTGCCTGCGAAATCAAATTTTTTAAAAACTGCATATTTAAAATTTGATTTCCATGTCGATTTCGGTTGAACTATTCAACCGATTTCGCTCAAATTTTGTATTTTGCCATGTAAAATTTATATACCTTACAATTCAAAAGATTTAAGACTATGCTTACGAAATACTTACTAAAAACTATTTTCTTGCATGGGATTATTTTTGGATAAACGAATTTTATAATTGTATGCAAAGATTTTTTTAATTCGCTTTAAAAGTTCGAGATATGCTGAAATACGCAAAAAATAAAACTAACATTGGTGGGGGGGGGTCCAAACTTTGAATCGCTCTCCTGAATAAACTGCGGCTACCCCCTACATTTTGGGGGTAGAAACAGGACGGTTTATTCAGAGAAAGTACGTTTTTGTTTCTAATTTCGAGACTTAAAATATCGCTGTACTTATTATGTAGCATATTTGAAGTCACCCCCTCGAGCCATTAAGATTGAGTTCAAGAACTGGAAAATCCAATCATTAAATCAAAAGATACTCAGGTTTTTTTTTTGCGCACTGTACACCTCACTTTTGGTAATAATAAAAGCAACGCTCTGAATTTATTCCATCAATTCTTACTCATACTTAATACTCATCTATATTCTACATATCTTATGTATACACATATCTTATGTATACATATACATTTGTATTTTATGCATTTTTTGTATTTTATGTTCTTTAATGTTTTTTTTTTACTTGGTTTTTAATAAACATTTACCCGTATGCCCTCAATTGTGGCAGGTCGGGGTAAATATTTTCATAGCATATTCTACATATTTGTATTGATTCCTTTAAGCCTAACAAGAAAAAAAATTATTTTTCTTATTTTTTAATGAGAATGTCATTTCGGTACCTATCTACCATAGTTTTGTCCTCAACAATGATTTTTTACCATAGTTGAGCCATGGGTTTTTATTTTTCAATCAAATTGATCGAAAAATAATAACTCAACAAAAAATAATAAATCAGAAGTTCTCTAGAGCATGCCTGGAAAACCAAAAACGAGGGCTAACACAGCAGATAGATACTCTTGTAACGTACTTCGAATGTAAAAGTCCCCCACTAGATGGCACAAATATCAAAACTGATTCAAATAATAATATTAACACAACTACGAAAGCTAGGTTACTCAACCTTATGAATTCAACTTTTAATAATGCACAGTAATCTTACGTTATATAAAGTATAATATTAAATAATGTGAACAGCCAAGACACTATTCTGAGAAAATATTTTTTTTTACACATGCAACAAAAATGAGATAAATAAGCCTAATGAATTCAACTTTTCCTAATGCGGTGTAATTTCATGTGACATAAAATACAATATTTAATTACACAATAATTAACATGACTATAAACAACTAGAATGCTATCTATTTTGTGAAAATATTTTATTACACGCAACAAAAATTAAGTTTTTCACATTATAGTATGATAATAATCATCTTTATTTTATATAGAACAGAAGAATGAATTACTCCACATGAACATAATTATTATAGCTACAACACAGTTTTGCTTTAAAAAAAATTCTTCAGATATAAGAAGTGATAAATTTTAAAGAATGTCTTAAACAAATTTTTTAAAATTCATTCTTTCAACGAACTAGCAAATGGAATTTTAAATTAAATGTATTTTATTTTAATCGTATATAAACAAAAAAAAATATTTTATGCAGATATTGAAATTGTACTACAAATGATAAATTCAAAAAAACATTTATGACAAATTTTTAAAACTTTACTTCTTTAATCATTATGTTACAATGCTAAATTTAATATTAAATATAGTGTATCTATTTCAAACATATACAACAAAGTAGAATATTTTATGTAAGACATTTAAACTGCATTGATCCATTATAAGAAAAGGGCTACAGTAAATAAATATCTCACCTGCACACTAACACATATGTAAGCATTTTATAACAAGAAAATTATTTCATGAATATCCATGAACTGGTAAGTTATTACAAATGACACATTGAAATTATTTGCTTACTTCTATATTTAACATAATAAATTAGCAAAATATAGTTTTTTGAATTAAGAAAAGACCTTAATAAAAATTTACAAATTTTGATTTTTTAATAGTTTGAGTAATCTTTTGTGTTCTTTTTCAAAAGTTTGATAAATTATACCATCTAACGCGTTCAAATGTGATTAATGTGTGATTTATATCAAGTAAACATTTAAGAAACTGTCATAATACTCATTACAGCAATATTTTGGTAACGTAAATATAAGATTTAAAAATGACGAAAGCTTGAAAAAGTTTAGATTAAAAGTAGTACAGGAAATTGATTTTATGAAGCAATTTATACTACTTTATCTATATGTTTCATACTTGCAATTAAATCAAATTTACTTCCAAACAAAGAAAATTTACTTCTCTCTGGTTTTAACTTAAAATATTTCGTAGTTAAAAGAAATGAAAAAAATTGCAATAGTGCATGTGCTGCTAGAAAATATTCATTAAATAAAAGATGTTACATATAATTTTAATTAAAAGCTGCTACTGAAGTGCTTTTTTTAAATTTTTTTTATTAAGAAATATTAACTACAACTCAGGATTCTAATGCTGAAAGAATAAATAACAATTTATATTTTGGTCAAGCAAAACTGGTTGTAAATAAAGTAATGTTATCCTGTAACCAAGGTCACAACTTCTTCTAAGATGTGCTTAGAAGGATTTATTTAAATTACAATCCACAATTTTTCAATACTCAAATTTATTTTACAGGCATTACATATACAAAGAAATAAAAATACAATTAAAAATGCATCACAAAATTTAAAATATTTTGAAAAGAAAAAAACTTTTTCAGCTTCATTAAACTGTGTTTAGCCCAGTGACACTTGTGTGAAAAGTTTTACTTATAACCGAAACAAGAAGAAAATTTATCCTCCGTGAAAAATGGTCTATGTTTCGTCAATCTATTTTTACACATGCTGCAAAAGTGAACACACCAGCATGAGTCAGGACATGATTGGAAAAATTATTTTGACGTGTGCAACAAGAATAAGGTTCCTCATCAGGGTCAACAAAACTATGAACAGTTCGATTAGCATTTGTTGAGAAATGCTTATTACAGATCCTACAAGAATATGGTTTCTTAACCAGTATGAGCATGAATGTAAATACTTATATCACTATTATTTAAAAACTACTTTATCATATGCTATAAAGATATGGTGGCTCACTAGTATGAACAACACAGCATTTAGTCAGATAACATTACTGAGAAATACTCTTATTACATTATGTTACAACAAACATAAATAAAGTCAGTCTTTTTGAAGAAGAAAAAAACTCTTTTTAAACACATTAGAATAATGCAGTATTATACCAGTATGAATAAAACTATGATATGTTGGATGGTCTTTAAGTGAAAAAACAAACTCTTTCTATGTATACAAGAATATGGCATCTAAGCAGTGTGAACATGAATGTGACGAGTTAGGTAATCCTTTCTTGAAAAAGTCTTATTACATACATTACATGAAAAAGGTTTTTCACCAGTATGAATACGAATGTGGTTATTCAGAAGATCTCTTTGCGAAAAACTTTTATTACATGTGCCACAAGAATAGGGTTTCTCACCAGTGTGAGTTCGAATGTGATTAGTTAGATGATCCTTCCTTGAAAAACTCTTTTGACATACACTACAATTATATGGCTTCTCACCAGTATGAATGCGACTGTGTATAATCAAATGACTCATTATCACAAAACCTTTCTTACATATACTACATGAATACGGTTTCTCACCAGTATGAGTGAGGATATGTTTAGCTAGATAACTATTACTTGCAAAACTCTTTTTACATATACTACAAGAAAAATCACCAGCATGGACTCGGCTGTGTTGAGACAAACTGCTTTTACACAAAAAACTCTTATGACATATACTACATGAAAAAGGTTTCTCACCAGTATGAAGACGACTGTGTTTAGTCAAATAACCTTTTTCTGAAAAACTCTTAGGACATAGATTACATGAAAAAGGTTTCTCGCCAGTATGAAGACGGCTATGTTGAGTCAAATTACCTCTAACTGAAAATCTCTTATTACATATACTACAAGAATACGGTTTCTCACCAGTATGTGCACGGCTGTGTTCAGTCAGTGTACTTTTTTGTGAGAAACTCTTGTTACATGTGCTACAAGAATAAGGCTTCTCACCAGTATGAACACGACTGTGTTCAGTCAGTTGACCTCTTTGCGTAAAACTCTTATTACATACACTACAAGAAAAAGGCTTCTCACCAGTATGAACACGATTATGTTGAGTCAAATTAGCTCTAGTTGAAAATCTCTTATTACATGTACTACAAGAATAAGGCTTCTCACCAGTATGAGCACGAATGTGTCCTGTCAGTACATGTTTTTGTGAGAAACTCTTATTACATATACTACAAGAAAAAGGCTTCTCACCCATATTGTGCTTAGTGAGAAGATCTCTTTGTAAAAAACTCTTATTATACTCTTATACGACAAGAATAATATTTGTCACTAGTATGAATTTTGTAAAGTTTAGTCAGACTACTTCTTTTTGAAAAAATCAAGTTACATATATTACAAGAATAAGGTTATCTTACAGGATGAAAAACACTGTTACAGCATATGTTTACTTTTCTGAGAAAACTTTTTTCACTCATACATCCCAATTAAGATTTCTCAACAGTTTGAAGACAAATGTTAATGTAATAAAAATTTGAAGAAAAATTCTAATTACAAGAAATAAGACTCTTCCTTTTATGATTGGTATTAACTGTGGGTCTTTCCTTGATAACTTTAAAATTTAAATCACTACACTACCTGAATAGTACACAAAATCTTGTTGTAAAGCAATTTTGCATGTGTTACTAGAGTAAGAATCATAAAGGTAGAGATAATTTGTGTGTAGTTGAGTTAGATCTCTAGAAAAACTATCATAAACATGCTGTAAGAAATAAACACATCAATTCACTTTGCAATGAGATTAAAATGGAAAGGCATAAATATGAGAAAAAAGATAGAAAATCTATTCAAAATCAAAATTTTGCTATTTTTTTCTTATTTGATACAAATAATAGCTATAATTAAATAATGGAAAACCTAATTATTCATTGATTAATATGAAGGTTAGAATTCAAAATAATTTTTACTACAGAAGTAACTTATTCTGAATTAAATTAGGCTCTTATTAGCATGTTACAAAAAAGAGCATTTTGTGTAAAGTTACTTATACGTTGACTAAATTTTTTAAAGAAGCAAAATAAAATAATGTAGAAATATGATCATTTTGTTAAAGGAATAGATCTATTACTAAATGCATTTACCAAAGGATTAATTTAAATTTGATTGAGTTGTAAACATCTTTATTCAGCAACTATATTTTCATAATATTTCTGTTTTGTTGTCCATACAAAGACACAAAACTAAATTTTTTTTATTTCACTTTATGTTATCACAAAATGCAGAAACAATATACCCTTTTATGTATGAGATTCATTTAAATTCAATACACAATGAATGAATGCATTCTAAGACACACTGTAAAATCAATGTTATTTATTATTAGAAAGACCTCTTGTAAATTTGAAAATGAATAAACAATAATGGTATTTACAATTTAGTACATGAAATTATCAAATTTAGATGATCTCATTCATAATTTGTTTCACACACACATTGCAAAAATATGGTTCAATATAAACTATTAAGTTGAATTTTTATTTTTACTCACTTAAAAGACTTGACATTATAAATACAATTTTTTTTGCTTTACAGGTACATTTTTGGATCAGTGCTCTATCACACATATAGTAGGCATGTGTTTATTCATTAAAATTATAAGAGTATCAAGAAAATTTAATTCTATCTATCTATAAGTATTAAATTGTATAAACTGCACACAAATATTTTCTCTTACTCACTGCGAAAAAAAAAATTAAAATTGTTTATATATGAATATCAAATCATGTGTGTTTTATAAAAGTAAGAGATAGTTTAATTACCAGCAACTGTATTCGGTATCTTCAATTCTAATTAATTTACAACTGTCTGATAATGCACTGTATGAAAAAGTTCATTCAATGTATTACTCAGATTCAAACAAATTAATTCTTTTTAGATTAATTAATTTATCACAATGACTGTCAAAAGAAATTATTTCCATATTGTGATCACAAAAAGGTTAAATAAAATTACTTTTTAGAAAAGAAATAAAATGTTTTCTAATAAAGAACAAAAATTATGAACTGCACTTGGAAACTTATAAGCACACAAACTACAAAAATAAATTTGTAAGTATAAAAATACTTTTCCGTTAGAACATCATTGTCACTATGACACAGATACAATTTACTGTTTATGACACAACATAAAAAGTTATGTCATATGTTGCCTACATAAAATAATATTGCCTTCAATAATATTTCCTTTTGCTAGGAAGCATTAAACACTAATTGCACGAATAGTTCATTAATAATATAAATCGTACAGAAAACACTTTTTTAATTATTTATTACGCACAACATGAATCCTATTTACTGTTCAATACTGATCCTTTTTTAAAATCATTTTTAGTATAAAAAAGATAATATCATGAGTATAAGATCTGCATGCAAATAACCTTTTTAATTCGTTTTCTAAATTTTCCCCATTACTCTGAGTGCAATTCCATAGGAAAGGTTTTTTGAATACGCAGGCATAGATATTGTGCGTTTTATAATATCACGTCTCCAAGAACGATTAGATCTTCTAATTCTAAATATGACATTAAGTAAATTGCAAATTAAAAAGCAATTTTATAAAGCTTTTCCTTACAAAATCAGGTAAGTATAAGTGTTATTTAGACTATGGAAGAAGGTATTAATTAATATAGTATAACTCGGTTAAAAATTCTCAACAAGTGCATAAATGCGGTGAGAGTTTTCGGTTGCCTATTTCGACCCACCTGATCTTCGGCGACTAGAGACACAACAACCTCCAGCTATCAAGTCTCACGATCAAGCCTCAACCATAAACTACATTAATGAAAATACAGAGCTGTAAGCTACCGCAAAGAGCTCGTCGCAATCTTCAGAAATCTGCATTCCACCTCAATAAATTTCACTTAATGTGCTGTTTGGATTTAGAAGATTATTAAATTACATTCATAGTAATTGAAAATCTATAGAAAGTGCTTTGAAAGGGTTATTTCCATGCAGATCGTATTTCTATGATATCTTCTTTATACTGAAAACAAAAACGTGCTGTGCGTGCCTAAATGTTAAAAAGAATTGTGTTTTCTGTTCGATTCATGTAGTTAACAAACTATACATGCAGTGTGTGTTAAATGGTTCCTGGCAGAAGGAGATAGTAGGCAATATCTTTCTGTGTTGGCAATAACATTCTATGCTGTGACACAAACGGTTAAAAGTATCTGGGCAAAGTGTGACACTTAGTTGCAATGATGTTCTAAGAGAAAAATATTTTCATAGAAATTTAATGTTTGCACTTTATTGAAGAGTTTCCAAGTGTAGTTAATCATTATTCAAAATAGAAAGTATGCCATAAGAAATAATTTCATTTAAATGTTGTGTGTTCATAATATAGAAACATATTTATGTTAATTTATAAGAGCATGCATTTATCAGATATGATGAAACATTGATATAAAAATTAGCAATTTAATTTCTTAAATCTATATATATATTTATAATGTCAAACCTTTTAAATCAGTGAAAGTAAAAAAAAAAAAAAAATATCGTCTGACATAAAAGTATATATTGAACCATATTTTTTGCAAGATGTGTGTATGTAATAAATTGTAAATGAGCTCTAATTTCTAGTATATAATATTTAATTTCATAATAGTAAATAGCATTATGTTTATTTTTGTAAGAAATTTTCCTAATGACAAATAACATTAATTTTGCAGTGTGTCTAAGAATGCATTCATTCATAGTGTATTAAATTTAAAGGAATCTCCTACATAAAGAGGTTCATTGTTTCTGCAGTTTTTATGCAAGAAAAAAAAACCATAAAGTGAAATCATTTAATTTAGTTTTGTATCTTTGTATGTATGGTGAAATAGAAATATTATTGAAGTAAAGTTTGTTGGAAATTTCAAAAAAATATGAATTGATTCTTTCACAGATACACCTATTAATAAATTGAATTCTTGTAATAAAGTGATCATATTTCTACAGTAATTTATTAGAAAATTCAATCACAGTAAGTGATTGATACAACATGCTATTGAAGGATTCATTGTGCTGTTTGAATGAGTTACTTTTGTTGTGAAAATTATTTTGAATTCTTGCCTTCATTTTATTTAATGGCAAATTATTTTCCCAATATCTAATTATAGCTATTTGTTTCAAATAAAAAAAGAAAAAATTTGTTTTGAACAATAAATCTATATTTTTTCTTATATTTATGCATTTCCATTTTAATATCATTGCACAGTTGATTTATATCTTCATTTCTTGCAGCATATTTATAATTGTTATTCTTGAGATCTTGCTCTAGTAACACATGCAAAAGTGTTTTGCAACAATATTTTGCATAGTATTTTGGTAGTGAAGTGATTTACATTTTAAAACTGGAAGAGAGAGACCCATACTTTATACAGGTCATGTAAGCAAAAAACTTATTTCTTGCATTTCATGTAATTAGAAATTTTCTTCAAATTATTTACATTTGTCTTAACACTGTTAAGAAACCTTATTTGTTCAATCTGAGCAAATAAAGATTTTCTCAGAAAAGTAAAAGGTGTTTTTCATCCTGTAAGATAACCTTATTCTTGTAATATAAGTAACTAGATTTTATCAAAAAGAAGAAGTCTCACTAAGCACTACAAAATTCATACAGTTGGGAAATCCTATTCTTATAGTCTATCACTAAGAGGTCTTCTGACCAAACAGAATCGTGTTCATATGGGTGAGAAGCCTTATTCTTGTAGTTTATGTAGTAAGAGTTTTTCACAGAAGATTCATCTCACTACACATGATAATGTTCATACTGGTAAGAAACCTTATTCTTGTAGTATATGTAATAGGAGTTTTTCAGCAAGAAGTACTCTGACTAAACACACACTTACTCATACTGGTGAAAAACCTTATTCTTGTAGTACATGTAATAAGAGTTTTTTAGAAATAGGTTCACTGACTAGACACACACGTACTCATACTGGTGAAAAACCTTATTCTTGTAGTATATGTGATAAAAGTTTTTCAGTAAGAAGTACACTGACTAAACACACACGTACTCATACTGGTGAAAAACCTTATTCTTGTGGTACATGTGATAAAAGTTTTTCACGACGAGGTCAACTAACTGAACATAGTCGTGTTCATACTGGTGAGAAACCTTATTCTTGTAGTGTATGTAATAAGAGTTTCTCACGAAAAAATTATTTGACTGAGCACAATCGTGTTCATTCTGGTGAGAGGCCTTATTCTTGTAGTACATGTAATAAGAGTTTTACACAAAGAGGTCATATGATTGAACACATTCGTGTTCATACTGGCGAGAAACCTTTTTCTTGTAATATATGTAATAAGAGATTTTCATTTAGATGTAATTTGACTCAACATAGTCATGTTCATACTGGTGAAAAACCTTAGTCTTGTAGTGTATGTATTAAGAGGTTTTCAGAAAGAGGTACACTGACTATACACACACGTACTCATACTGGTGAAAAATCTTATTCTTGTAGTGTATGTAATAAGTGTTTCTCACAAAGACGTCTACTGACTTTTCACAATCGTGTCCATACTGGCAAGAAACCTTATTTTTGTAGTATATTTAGTAAGAGATTTTCAAGAAGAGCTAATTTGACTGGACATAGTAGTGTTCATGCCAGGGTTGAAAAAAAACCCACCTACCCAGGAAAACCTGGACGGGTTTTTCTAAGATTGATTTTTTTAAAATCTGTTATATTAAAGAGCTATTCTATTGAAATATGTATGCAGTCTAGCCTAAAAAATTTAACCTATGCTAAAAAAACCAACTATGTTTTGCTATTGTTTTATTCTTATATGGTTAAAAGAAATGCACTTTATTTAATATTAAACTTTGCATTATTTAAAGAAATTGATTTAGAAAAATATTTCAAATAATTTTCTTAGCTGTTCCTTAAAATTTATTTTTTCTTATATCTTCGGAATTTTTTTTTAAGCAAAATAATGTTGTAGCTATTATAAATATGTTTCTGTGGAGTAAATTATTATTGTATTTTATGTAAAAATAAAGATGTTCAACATTTTTAGCTCTCATGTTTCTAATGCTGAAAAACCTGATTTTTGTTGTTTGTGTAATAAATTTTTTTCACAGAATAGATAGCATTCTAGTTGTTTGTTCATTATTGTGTGATTTAATAGCGTATTTTATGTCAAATGTGATTGCACAACATTATGAAAAGTTTAATTTATATGATTTTATAACCTAACTATCGTAGTTGAGTGAGTGCCGTACTTTAAATCAGTTTAGATATTTGTGCCATCTAGTAAAGGACTTTCACTTTCAATGTATGTTACGACAGTTACTACATGCTGTGCTGTGTTAGTGATTGTTTTAGATGTAGGAGACATTACGAGACATGGGCTAGAAAACTTTCTTCTGATTTACCATTTGCTGAGGAATTATTTTTCAAACAATTTGATTGAAAAATAAAACCCCATGCTTTGGGAATCTTAGAACTGTGTCATAATATCATTTTCTTTAAAATAAATAAAAATTAAAAAAATTATTGTTGTTAGGACTAAAGGAATCAACACAAAGATCTCGAATAAAATATTAAGAAAGATATGTATAAATTTATATGCATGAGTAAGCATTGATAGCAAGGAGGTAGGTAAGGGAGGGGTTTAGGAGGCTCAAACACACCCCCATTGTAAATGGCAACCTTTTATATTTTCTCAAATTACTCATTTTATCCAGGGCCGTAACTACCCCTGGGCCCCGATGGTCAAGGGGTTATCTCCTGCATCACATATTTTTTGCAAATTTTCTTTCAATTATATATATATATAACGTCGTTGCCGAGTGGAAGGATTAAAACAGGTGTTAGGCCGGGAAGGAGGGTACAAAATTTGTTTATTAATTATTAGACAGAGCAGTCATGAGGAGTGTAAAAGTGAACACGAAAAGTTGCGCTCATTGGTTATATGTTAGGGAAAATCCTGCGAAGTAAGACCAGTAAAATGTTTCAATTTAGGGAAATCTTAGTAGTTGCTATTGGTTTATGAAATAGATCGAGCGTTTTCCTCAGAAGGCAAAGGGAAAAATGTCCTGCTTTTAATTAAATGCATACTTGATCCAAAAATAGATTTAAGAACAGGATGTGGCTTTTAAAAATGTGAGAAGGTATTTCGATTAGAATAATCAATTAGGATGAAGTTCTGTAACAAAGAATCCAACATAAAAAGATTAATTTAAGCTTTTTATGTTACATATATATATAACGAAAGGGTAAAACACGGTGTAACACTTTTTCGCGAATTATTTTCCTTTCTCAAAAGAACAAACACGCTTCGCAGAGAGGGGGAAAGGTCACAACTACATGTAGTTGATTCTTAACACTTTCTGTATATTGTATTTTTGTCTTAGTTGTTTCCTCTACTATCTAGTGTCAGACCCAGCAGCGTATCAACTGGGAGCGGAGGCCCCCTCTAAAGTTTAAGTGATGGGGCAAACAATGTGTTTCCATCCTCCTTTAATTTGGACACTCACAAAAATAAGTCAAGTAAAATCAGTAATTTGAGGGAGAAAAAAATTTTTTTTTTTTTTCAATTTTGAAACTATTTTCCATATAGAAACTTTCATATTCCTCTAAAATTTAAGTGTGGGGGGGGGATTGAACAATGTGCTTTGCCCCTTCTAATATATAGACATTTGCTTAAGTCAAGTAAAATTGGTAACTTCAGAAAGAAAAAAAAAGCTATACACTAAGTAGGAAACTTTATTGTGCTCTAAAATTAAACTAAATGAGCGAATAACGTGCTTTTTGACATTTGGAAAAGTAAAGTAAAAGTAGAAAGAATATTTTATTTCCAATTTTCACTCTATTTTCCGGGTAGAAAACTTGATTTTCTTCTGAAATAATAATGAGGGAGCGAACAAAGTGTTTTGTTCCTTCTGAAATTTCGACGTGAGCAAAAATAAAGTCAAGAAAAATTGGTAAGTAAAAAAATTTCATCTTTAAATCTATTTTCCAAATTGAAAACTGTGTTTTTCTCTGAAATAAAAGTGAGGGGGCGAAAAATCTGCTTCGCATCTTCTGAAATTTAGGCATTAGCAGAATAAAATTAAGTGAAGTTGGAAATTTTAGGAAAAAAAAAAGTTATATTTTTTTATAACTTCGACGCTATATTCCAAGTAGAAAACTTAATTTTTCTCTTAAATTATAGTTGAGGGAGTAGAAAACTTTGTTTTCTTCTGATATTAAAGTAAGAGGGCAAAAATGTGTTTTTATCTCCTGTAATTTGGACTTTTGTGATAAAGACAAATAAAATAGGTTTAAAAAAAATAGAAGCCATTTTCCAAAAAGAAAATTTTATTTTCCTCTTAAATTAAAGTGAGTGGGAGAAGAATATACTTCATCCCTTCTGGAATTCATGACATTCGCGAAAATAAAGTCAAGTGAAATTAATATTTAACTCTCAATTTCAACTTTAAAGCTATTTTCCAAATAGAAAACTTTATTTTCTTCTGAAATTTAATTGAAAGGGAAGTTAATGTGCGCCACCCCTTCTGAAACTTTGGCAGTCGCTACAATAAAGTAAAGTAGAATTGGTAATTTTAGAAAAAGAAGCTACATTTTTTTTTTTTTTTTTTTCCATTTTAGTAGCTATTTTTCAAATTGAAATAGAAAACTTTTCTCCCTGAAAAAAGTTCTGCTTAGTTTCAATTTTTTTCTACATATGCACAATTTTCATTCGAAAAAAAAAGAAATTATGTATAAACTAAAATACAAAAAGAAAAAAAAAAAGCAGAACACTAAAAATTAAAAGCACAGCAAAATAAAAAATAATAAAACAAGTGTTTAGAAAAGTAAAATAATTGCCACTCCCTTATGAAAAAATCGAGGTATAAAT